GCCAGAACTGGGCTCAGGACTCCAGGTGTGGCCTCACCAGTGCTGTTTAGAAGGGAAGGATCACTTCCTTGACCTGCTGGCAATACTTTGTCTAATGCAGCCAAAGATACCATTCACCTTCTTTGCAGCAGGGTCACCTTGCTGGTTCATGTTCAACTTGGGGTCCACCAGGACCCCCAGCAACTTTTCTGCCAAACTGCTTTCCAGCGGGTTGGTCCCCATCAGCTATTTTGTTTTAACATCTATCCCCATTAGTTAATTCTTAAATTTTGTGATCTTGGCAAAGAATGTGCAACTCTTTAATTGCAGCATGCCAATATCAATTGTCAAAACCATTTTTCATTCTTGTTGATATATTAATCTTTTTATCAGATGTTTAAAGTGTTTTGTCATGCAGATTTTCTGAAATGTAATTCTGCAATCTGTAATATGTTTTTAGTATGGTCTCACCAGTCATTGTAAATTAAATTAATCTGAATTTACATCAGTTATGCTTTGAACTAGCTTAAAGCAGCTTTGTGCATAAAAATACTGTGCTGCTAGGGATGGATTTGAACTTTTAAAAAAAAATCTACATAATCCTAGCTGTGTAGAAGTATACCTCTGTGGGCTGAGGGCTTCATTGATTACAGTCTATTGGCAGGATAGACCTCTCCTGTTGATCTTGTTCTCTTATTTTATTCTAGTGTGCATATCTATTATTCTGAATAGCTGCTTATGTATAATATATGCAAATACAACTCCAGTATCACAATTTAATTGAATTAGTAATCAGGGATAAAGATACTGAATGTTCTTAAAAAATAAAGCGCATGTGCATGAGTCATGAGGGGGGTGAAGGCTGGCCTTACCCTTCTACCTGGTCATTTGAGAACATCTTTACAGGGAATAGAGAAATGGTGACCTAAGTGACAGGACAGTGGACTGGAATGACAAAATTGAGGAGGTTCTTGCAGATTGTCTGTGGGCAACTTTGGGCAATTTGCTGTATCTCTCTGCCTTAGTTCTCTCACCTGTAAATTGCACATGATATCACTCTATTCTGCTGTAGAAAATGATATAAATAAATTAAATAAATACCGCTTTACTAGTGGTCTGCAGTTGAGTTTCTGTACAGAAATGCTACCAGATTGATTTACATGGGTAACCTTAGCATGGAGACCACATGCTATTCCTACCAAAATAAGTGGAAAAATAATAAATTCAGGGTCCTGACAAAGTGCTCTGGTACATTCAGGAAGAGCATGTCAAAAGAGTACGAGAGGAGCGTTCCTGGAGAACTGTGGGATATTGCCAGCAGGTACAAGGCGCTAGCAGCCAAAGAGCTAAACTTTTTTGTCCTGAAGTTGTGAGTCATCAGTCCAGGAATGGTTGGAGTTGGCAAACAGGCTCTTTTGAACTACGTGTTCCCCACGCCTCCCTCCAAGCCTGCTACATCAAGCATGATGGCAGTATTCTTCCAAGACATGCGAAGAGCTGAAATACAATAAACATTGAGCTGATAACCCTGCTGTTTTCCAGATGATGTAATTTGAGAGACGTGTTGACCATAGACCTCAAATTTGACAGAAAGTCTCTACCTCAGCTTGAAACTTAACCTACTAATTGTAAAGTCAGTCTGTTTGTTTCTGGCTTGTGAAGCGATAATTAAAATACCGTTTGCAACAGAAATTCAAATGCAATACTAAATATGAACTAGTTCTTCACCCTGCCTAGTATATTTCTGCCATGCTTTCCACTGACCAATCTGGCTGCGATTCTTATTTCCTACATCACCCAGCAATCTTTAAGTATGAGAATAAAAACCTCTTATTTCAGCTCCAGTGTTGTGAAATGACATTTATTTTGAACCATCCAGGACTTTTAGGTTGCATACTCCAAGTGTGCTGCGTATTTAGCGTACAAATAGACAAATATGAGGGTGTGAGAGAGACATGCACTAAACAGATAAAGGTATCATCTTGGAGTGTGTATTAAAAATGAATTTCAATAAATTTGATGTTATATATTAAAAGAATTAATCTTTAAAATTGCTGGTACAACTAGTATATATTATTATTCTGATAACAATTTAATCCATTTATTCTTGTTAAACTCATAATTCTAAATTTACATGAGTTTCAGATGATTGAAAGTCTTGATAACACCAATCCGGAATTACACAATAAAGCATATTACAGCTGTTCTTTAATTATAATGAGCAGTGGGAACACCTTTCATCTCTGAAAGCCATTTAGTACCATTATACTGTTGTGTGGGTTTGATTATTGATCAATTTGAGTTGTATTCACTGTCTCAACAAATTTAAAGTTTTATGGTTTACTGCTGTGCCCTCAGAATAGAAAAATGTCTGTACCATTTATTCAGGGGAAAAATATTCCCGCCCGAGAAGGAACTGCAAAGGCCAATATAAATATAATGTAATTAAAATCAGCCTGTGAAAACAGTCGTGACTGCTGAGGAGAGAGAAATATGTTATTTGGTGCTGATTGTTTGCCCAAAATCTCCTAATGAGTTAAAATTAAAGTAATTAAAAAAGAGGCTAAATGTCAAGGAAAAATTTCCCAAGCAACTGTTCCAAAGCCTGCTACTGGCTTCAGTCAGAGAAGGGGGGAATCTGTATCACCTGAGACACTTAAAGCTATGAGAAAAGAAACTAATGATTAAAAATGTCAATAGATAGGGCTTAGAGAGATGTCTTTCCTGTCTTTTCTGATTTTTAGTATCTCTGTAGTCTTAGGAATGAACTGGCCCTGTGAGGTTGAATGACAGCCATGAGTCATTATTTGAGTCTAAATTACACAGTTATCTCTGTTCTTCTAAGTTCCCATTTGGTTAATAGCTAAATTGCTGTATCTTTGCTGTATCGTTGGTATTCCAGGCATGCTGGGTTGTAAACCTGTGACAAGGTCGGAGTGTTGTAGCCTCTTCTACCTTGCGCTGGAAAAATCTAGCAGGCTTTAAGGGTGGCCATTGTCGATGTATTTCTGCTTTATATTTCATATTTTAAAAATAAATGCAAGCACCTCTTGGTAACTGTAGCAGACTGTCAAAGCTAATGTAGAGATTTAATAGTATAGCCAATAGAAGAGTTAATAATAAAGGATAAAATTCAGCCTTTATATAAGTTTATGTAAAACTGTAGAATTATTATTTGCTTGCATCAACTGAATTTGGCATAAAGGTAAGCAGGTGGGGACTTTTTTTTGAGAGAGAGAGAGAGAGAGAATTTGTCATCTCTGCTCATCCAAAGTAGTTGTCTTTGCTTTCAGGGTTTATTTGAAGTAGTCGAATGACTCCTTTGCAGCAGGGAAGCTGTTTGCATAGTGCTGTCAGTGACATCCCTTTCTTGCTATCTCTGTCTCTTGGAAGTGAGGCTCATGCGAGAGTAGGAGATGAGAAGATGCTGTATTTTACATATAACTTATACCTCGGTTGACTGGGTGCATATTTCTGGTGTTTTTAAGTTGGAAAAAAAAATACTCTAATGTGGAAAACAAAGCTGCAATGCTCTGGAACTAAGGGAGTTAACTGTCAGGGTACAATTATAATTCAGGAAGCTTGAGACCTGTGTGATCCTCTCTTGTTAGTATACACTTTTCCTGCTTATAGGTGTCCTGATCAACAGAGAGCTAAAGATAAGGATCTTATATTTTTTGCATGAAAAAGAGCACAGTAACAGTTTGATGAACAGACACTTTTATAATAAAACTCTTCTGTCTCACTGAAACTGTAGATTGGTAGCTATTACCTGACACTGAACAGTTTTCCTTTCAGTATTATCACACAGTGACTTAAATGTGATGAGGCGTTAGAAAAGATTGAATTATTTTACTTTTTCACTGGGTTCTGAAGCCATTGTGTTCTATTTTGGGGTAAATTATCCTATTTATCTTGTCTACATAAATACCTTTATGAATAATGCAAGAAGCTGAGGTGTTAAAAGTAAAAATTACAGACCTGTCCTTAAAGGACAGGATTAACATCCTGCAAGAGCTTATTCAAAACCAACTGGTGCCTTTATTCTACAATACAAAAACATGCCTTTTTTTGAGCATTTGTAAAGCCGTTATAGTGGAGTGTTGCCAGATCCATTAACAATTCTGTACTAATGACAGTTAAATAACTGAGTGGGGTAAGAACAGGCAATAGAACGGTCTGTACAGGATCTCCTTTTACATGGAAGTTGTGAGAAGGCTTGAGTGAAAAAACTGCAAAAATAGTTCCACAGGGGTCAGAGCAGCAATGTCTTATGTTGAAGTACAGTTAGAAATGAAAAATACTGCACTTAATGCAAAGGTAGTGCGGATATTTAGACAAAGACTACAGAGGCAAATTAAAGTTACAGAAAACTTTCAGTTCCCAAGGAGTTACTAAATTGGCTGTTTCTCACAAACACTCTGTTTTAGACTATCTAGCTATTAACAGACATACAGAAAGCCCGTACAAATTTGTCAGCTGGTGAATGTGTTTTCAGCCATGCTGACTTCTGTGAGCATGGCTTAGCCGCGTGGGATGACAAGGTGAAGATGTGCATGTAAAGACCCAGGCTCCTCCATCTATGGCTGGATGCTGTGAGAAGGCAGAGCCTGGAGTGCTGAGAGCCTGTGCTCGCCCTGCTGCCAGGAGCACCGAGGGCAGGCAAGACCTCAAGCACGGGAACACAGCCAAAAAATGTCCGCCCCTTGTTTCCTCTGGCCTACGTCATTACAGAATTTCTGAACAGGTTTTTCTGTACTCCTTTGAAGAATGATTATAATTTTTGTATGGTTTTCACTCTCAGGTCAGAGGTATAGACTTCCATTTCAGCTTAACATAACTTTACGAAGAAAGTATATATAGCATATTCTGGTAAGCATCTGCACACAAAAGAAACCACACACACACAAATAGTGCATCTATAGCTCAAATTCTATAGCAAAACCCAAACTCAGACTTGGATAGAGAGTATCCTCAGGCAAGTATGCAAATATAGCGCTAGGATCTATAGAAAAGCAAAGATGAAGAAAGGTGAATTGATTCTGCTTCCCTGAATTGGCTATTATGTATAGCAACATCTTCCTATGCAGAAAAAGATCCTCACAAAAGTGTTTTCAAAAGCCATAGTATGTCCAGATGGAAATTATCTAGTGAGTGAACTAAGTAATGTCATGGTATATGACACGCCACCTTATAAATCTGTTATTTGCAATTCCCTCATGGTATTACAAGCATTTTAAATCATTCTGAATTTCTAAAACAAATCCATAATATTTTCCTATACCTGCAGAGATATGTTTATATATATGCTACAAATAATGGACAGGATAACAGGAGAAGCTTACAAACATAACCATAATATTTTCTCCCCTTTTAGTCTTTATCACATCATTTTAAGCATGGAAATAAGAAATTGCAATGTATTAGACAAATGGAGAACTTGTTAATGGTTTTCCCTGTTTCTACCACTCTTCATGCGTATTGTATTACACGGTGCTGCTAGTGACGTGTTGCCAAAGGAATACTGACTTGCTGCAGAAGTGAGGGAAGAGTTGCTTCCCCATTCTCCTCCCTGCACCATCGGCCCAGCCCATCTCCAGCATACCCATACACACACACGCGTGCAGGAGAAGGCTGGGCCAGAGAGCAAGAAGGAGTTTATCCTGGAGAGGAGCAGGGCACCTCCTGTGAGCTGGAAATGGCTCTGGGAGAGGAGAGGTGGTGGTGGGGAGCAGAGCTTGAAGGATTTTTTCACTAGTTGCTTCTGCATCAGTGGTGTCTTTTGTGGCAGATTTTCCCAAATCAACCTGCACAGCAGCGCCTTTTCCTCTGCCCCTGGCGTGGGGAGGGCGGTGCTGGTGAAACTCCACTGGTTTAAGGAGATCGAGGGAGCGAAGGAAGAACCTATACAACTGAAAGCGAGTCCCATTTTCCCAGCTCTGCTGGTTTAAGAAATTGGTTTGTGTGTCCCTAAACATCAGTGGACAAAAGCTATTGACAGGTATGGTACTGCCACAATAAAGTCATCTAGTCTTGAAATAGTTCTGTGTATTACTTTACTTTTCCGACATAATCTAGAGACTCATAGGCTGACACTGCTCTTCCATTGAGTAAACTGCTGCTTAGTTTTGGTATCATGGCAGACAGACTTTCAGAAAAGTAATCTACCAGTCAATTAGTATCCAATACCATGAACCTAAATCAAATACACTTTCAAAAGGGCTCAAGTTCAGAAATGAACTTTAAGAAAACTCTATTGATTTTGTAAATTAAAAATGTAAAATTGAATGGATAGAGGTCCAGTACAGGCCTGACCCAAGGAAGCAATCTTTAAACAGGAACGTTCTCCGATTGAACACTGGGGAAGAAAAGAAAGCAAGAAGGATTCATTTGCAGTTGACCTGCAGTAGCAAAGTCATTCACTTTCCAAATAGGATTAAACTTGTTCCATCAGCTATGACATGTGAAAAGATCATGGTTATAAATTCCATTTGCTGTAATGAATTGAAAGTGTCTGAGTTTGCAAGCAGCACTCATCGTTGATGGACAGCTAGATTTGTGCAGTGTTTTAACACTAAAATTAGCTTCTACAAAATAAAAAGTATGGAAAAGGTGGCAGCAGTGACAGATTTTAAAGCATAAAAAAATTGACTTTATTGTTAGATGGAAGCTGAATAAAGCTGGAAAGAAATAGTGGTTATAACCCTGTTATGTAGATAACTGGCTTCATTCCTGAGTGGGGGTGAACACAAAACTGGAAAAAGGCATTTGTTTGGGTTTCTCAGCCATAGTTTAACAAGAATAAATATTGTTACTTAAATGAGGAAAATCGAACTTTTCTATGGTATTGCTTGTAAGATGTAAGAAAATGGAATTGTATTGAAGGATACTTCATTCAAAGCAATTTCAACATACATCAACGTGACTCCACTGCAGTCCACGAAACCATATTGGTGTATGTTGTTTTGTAAATTGAGGTAAACGCTACGCTCTGTGGTTACTTAATGACCTTAACTCAGTCTTGCATCAGGATCATGAGACATTTGTACTTCGATGCTTACAGAACTAAATGCAATTTCAGAACCTGTTTTCCCCAAATTTGTGTGTTTGGTGTACACAATTTTGTGTGTATTTTAAATGTGCCGATTGCCAAGAAAAAAACTCAATGGGTGAAAATGGCTGATATTTGTGAATAAATTGAGATTCGTTTTAATTGATAAGGTACACAGCTGAAAACTCTCCAAGATTTAAAAAAACAAACAAAAAAACCAACAAAAACTTGAGCTAAATAGAGGAATGAAAATATAATAGCTTCTTAAATTACTGCAAGGTTAACATATAATTAATTTGCTAATTTTAATTACAACCGTACAAAATGTGCTGAAAAATGCTCAAAGGGGAGAAGCAACCAGGTGCCAGCCATGATTAACCAAGGTTACTAGCAATTATGAGGTCTCTATTAACCATGTTACAGAAATGTTAAAAACTCCTTTATAAAAACAGCACATTTATTGAAACTCAGCAGGGTGTTCATCTTGCTGTACCTTTCCATTGCCACAGACTTGCTGTCATTTGCCTCACTCTTTTCCAGCTAAATGTTTTATTGCAGCTGAAACATGGATTGCTTTTTCTGTTTGACACACACTGTTATACATGCACTAGGTATTTATTTTGATCACATAAACAAAAGAGATTAACTATCATTTGCAAACTGCTCTGCACACCTTAAGTGCAGACAGCTGCCAATGTCACAGCTGAGCACTGGAAACACAAATCCTGAAGAAAATGCTTTTTGTTTCCAAGGCGTCCTGGGACATGCATTTTGTAAAGCAGGAATATTGCTGAAACTGCCCTTTCAGTGGAGAACCTGCTCCGCAATGCTTTATATGCACAGACAAATGTAAGTTCTGAGTTAAAACACAAAAAACAAAAACCAAAGAACAAAAAAATTCTGCATGTTTGCTTTGCCTTTTCAACAAATCGTAGTGGAAATGAATGTCTTGTATGTATCAAATTCCATGATGTATTATTGTTCTTTTTTAATTGTTGTTATGTGAGTCATGTTTTAAGTGTCTGTTGTTTGGAACTGTAATAAACCTTGATTCGTCTATTAAAAGAAGACCTAAAGAAAAAAAAGAAAACAAACATAAAACCAAAACAACAACAAAAAAACGAAGCTAAAGCATTGGTGTCGAAGGAAATTAATTTCCTGGCTGGCTTGTGTTTTTCTCTGAGGCAGATATTGATGAGTGTGCAGAGGGGATCATTGAGTGTCACAACCATTCACGCTGTGTTAACCTCCCAGGGTGGTACCACTGTGAGTGCAGAAGCGGTTTCCATGACAATGGAAGCTTTTCTCTTGCCGGGGAGTCCTGTGTTGGTAAGCAATGATCAGCATAGCGCTTTTTTTCCTCCTTCTGCATGGTCTTACAAAGTGACTATTGAGACACTGTCCTGAGCGCTTACTGTGTTTAAGGCTAAAATGAGAACGCAAGCGAGCGTGTCTGCGTGTGTCAGCATCCCCAGCCATGCGGCCTGGGTGCTACTTCAAGACACGTCGAATTTTTGAACGGTTATTACAGAAGGGAGGCAGTCGGAGATCCAAAGTGTGACTTGCTGTCCTTTGCCATTTATCATAATAAGTTGCAGTAAAACGTGAAATGAAAGTAGACTTTCTGGGGAGCATAATAGGCCCCAAAAAAGGGAAGAGTTGGTTTTCCGTTTTCAAATTTCAGCAGAGCGATATAAAAACACATTTGGGATATGTCTGTGTTGCTTTGGTTTGTTTGTTTTCCATTGTTTGGTATCTTCATCATTTTATTTTTAGAATTACGCGAATAGTATCAAGCTCTTTATGCACCACATTTGCAGAAAAAGGCCCTAACAGCATGAACGGAGAGGAATTTTTAAAGGGTGCAGAGGAGTTTGTCAGTTGTTTCTACAGGAGGACGAAGGATGAGGCTCCATGAGGAGTTAGGACTGGGTCTTGCAGTCTGGGTGCCCTTGACTGGCGATAAGATTTTGTGTGCCGCTACAGCAAGTAAGCAGTAATAAAATCGTAGTGAAGATGGTAATTGTGGCTTACCTCTGTCTTACAATTTTATCAGCTTTTTGCTTATTCTCAGGAGCCTTAGACATGATTTCTATATGATATTTTATCAGATGAGTTTAAAACTATTTAGAAATGATCCCAATTTAAATTCTATAGAGATACAAATCAAATTCTCATAGTTCTATGTCCTTTCTTTGGAATTTCAGTTACTTCATCTCTACTCAGTTCTATGAATTTTCTATAAAAGCGTTTCTGCTGCTTCTGTGAAGGACTTTTTTTTTTTTTCTTTTAACACTGTAGATTTTATTTATCTTGTCCATAAATACAAAGGGCTCTTTCTAAGATTTAAAGTATATGATTAAAGTAAAAGTCAAAATAAATATTTGTAATAAAAATATATAAATTTGCTTGTAACTTGTAACAAACATTGCCATCTTTTACAGATTTTGGCTATTAGAAGTCCTTGGGGTAAGATAGCATCGTGATTTAAAAATGCAGGGGAACAATAACTATTTTCAAAAGCAATATTTTGTAGATTGTCCAGCACTATTAACTTTTTACACATTGTCCTAAGCTGACATGGAACTCAATAAAATCACAGCAGTGAACTTCATTGGGGTGGCTGTGTAAAAAATGGCAAATTTTACAGCATTTTGTGATTTAACAGATAAAACACCATGTGAAAGTCATATATTTTAAACAAATTCTCAAATGTTAAGAGTTCTCCTCTGGTTTATTTAAATATTGTAAAAGGAGCGATGGGCAGAACAATGTTGAAAATACTTCCTTTATGAGAAGTCAAAGCAACATGACATAACCTTCAAAAAACCCTCAGGCAGTTGGGGATAAGGAGCATTTGTAGCATTCCTGATGCCTACCTGTACTGCTTTCATGAGGAACCCCATCACTTGTCAGGCTGACCTTAGGTAGCTGTTTTGGGACAAAGAAGATCTAAGGCTCAGGCTGGTGTCAGGAAAAGATGGATGCGTAGACAAGACTGTGGTTTTGAATGGCCCATAGCTAGGCTCAGTTGCTGGAAAGGTCGGTATTGCTTGCGTTACATGGTTATTAAAGGGAAGGGCACTTGGCTACTTCACAGCAAAAGGGAGCCCAAAATGTTCTGTATTCTGTGGAGATTGGAGAGATGAGTTTTCATGAAAACAAACTGCCCTCGTTTTGACCTGCACAGCATGCTGGAAGTTCGTAAGGTGAGGTGCTCATCTTGCCATATGCAAGTTGTAAACAGAATGTGAAATTAGCAGGGTTATTTTAACGAAATAGCTTTTCTGAACCATCTGCTGCAGGGTACCAGTGAAGAAGAGAATAAACCAGTTTATTTTATTTCATTATACTGGTTAGCCAATTGAAAATTAATTGAAAGATTCTGCTAACCCATATTGACAAAGAAATTTCAAACCATGATGTTTATTTTAAAGTACAACTAAGAATTGCTTAAAATGACAGATAGATAACACTACACATTCTAGCTAAAACTCGGTTTCTTGAATGCTGACTTTCATCATGTGCCAGAGCTTGTTTGCATGGTGGAGTATTTAGAGTCAGGGCCAGTGTCATTCACTCTATTTCAGATAAAAGAGGGTTCATCTGCTTAGCAACGGCATTTTGTCCTGGTATATTTTACAGACTGTATACTGAAATCCTGGTGTGTACCTGAGGTGGATTTGGGCCGTTGCCCTTCAGTATGTTTTGAAATGTTTCTTCCTTCCTTCCTGAAGGACAAAACTTGGAGAACAGTAAATAGGCTAAGAACATAAGTAAAAAAATTAAACCGTCCCCCACAAAATAACAATAATAATAACAACAACATATGAAAGTCATAAGGTGGTGGGAGGGAGTACTCAGCTCTGACAGATTGCCCGAAGCCCAGGCAGCCAGTTCCTTTTGGTGGATGCATTTATGTATCTATTGCTTAACCCCCTTTCCCTCCATTTATATGTAGGTGGTCTTGCAGCTGAGTCATTACTTGCAGTGTCTGTGCAGTGCTTGGAGAAGATTTCAAAAAATAACTTCTATTTGGGAAGTGTTGTGATACCTCAGTGCTTCTGAAAGCTTTATTCTTATCGACTAGGAGAAAGAGGTGGAGTTTGTCACCTGGCAAGGGACAAACGTGTAGATCAACGGATGTGGCAGGGAAGGTCATAATATTGCACCAGAGCTTAGGTAATAAGTATGTATGACTTAGCCAGGCCACTTCAAGCTTGGGAAAATTCTTTTATTGCTCAAAAATATCAACTGAAGGCAGCTTTGAAAAGGGAATATATTTCCACAGCCATGCTTTTATAAAAGGTGTCAGCTTCATAAGGTGATGGTGAGCAGGCTCAAATTAAGCGAATGTAATTTAATTTCCAGCGGTATTGTTTTTATGAGGCACTGGCCTTTCACAATATGTTATTAAGAATACTGCTTGCAGACAAAAGACAATTGCTATACTAAGTTGCTACCAAAGTTTGCTTGGCAATTAAAACATGTAGGCTATAGTTGCTAGGTTGTTGGGTTTTTCTTCTTTTTTAATAAGAGTTTTGCTACACTTTAAGGTAAACAAACAAAAATACTTTATAGACAACTATGAGTTGTCATATGATACGTATCCCACTATTGACTGCTATCTACTGATACCGTACTGAAGCAACTGCCATACATTGTTTTTATCCTGCACTAAGTACATGTTACCAAATACTGCTGCCTCAAGGCAATCATTGAATAAATCCTTACCACTGAATTTTCAGTGATAACCTTTAAGATTATCAGAACCACAAGAAGGAAGAAACTGGCAAAGAATTCTAGGAAGTTGTTAATGTCTCACAAAGCTTGCTCCTATCTACAGCAGAAAAATAAAAACAAATCAAATTATATTTTTTAATCTCCATCTCTCTTTAAGTGAGATGCTTCCAGTCTGTAGACAGCTGTTCAGACCCTGGAGTGCAGAATTCCTGATTCCATTTTTTTCATGATGTTTCGTGTTTCTGGGTCTCTACATTGTGACTTGCAAGCACAAAAGGAAAAGCAACCAAGGTAGCAGTCCCTGTCAGTTGTTGGTTATTTTTTCTTTTCTTTAAGAATCAGTACAAATTTTCTAAGGAATGTTAACACGGATCCTCCTTCCACCAAAAAACCGCAGGATTCACCATGTATTTTGTCCTGAAAGGTTGTGTAGCTAGACCTCGCTGCAGGTTCAGAGTAGCTGTGGTGGGGAAATGAAAGCTGGAAAAAGGTAGGACTCAGCAGCTTGTGAAAGAAAACTTCCCATGTATTAGTCTCCCACAAAAACTGGGTGCAGCAGTGCTTGAGGGTCAAGTCTGAATGGGTTTAAAATCAATTCCTGAAGCTTTCAGATATTTGATAGGCTGCTGCAGTGATGTCTGTTACCTAGATTAGAAAGTAAGAGAAAAGGAGGTTTGTTCTTTGTTTATTTTGCCCTCTTTCTGTGTCAAACAAAAAGCTAGACCCATCCTTTGAAAATGTTCCTATGTGCCTGAGAATTGCTTTTCTATCTATCGTTAGAGAAGTGGTACATAGACAGAAAGGTTTGCATATGGTACCAGAGCATCCAAGACCAACTCTAGAACCTGCTGGTTTACGACTTTCTTCTGTTCTGCTCATAGAATTTCTTAAAGCTCATAATATCAGTCTGTGTCTGTGGATTTTATCCTGCAAAATAAAAATGATCTTGCTTTCCATTTAGTAAATTCTGATTCTTGCATTCCGAGAGAAAGTTGTGTTACATGTCCTCAAGGTAATTGTGTTTAGTCATTTCTGTATTTCTAGAAAGCATTAATAAATCCTATATTCAGAATCTAATTTACTATGCAGTGTTCTTTAATAGGCCATTATGTCTCTATAGAACGAAAGTGCTATCATAAAAGATTTTCTAACTAAAAATGAATCTGTTTAGTGATTTTTGTTTTTTTTCAAACATGAGTTGAAATCACTTCGGTTTAGAAAGAAGGCAAATACATTAAGTGACAAGTTGCCTGTGAAAAATGATATGTCAAAACAGTGTTTAGTTAGCTTGTACATATATTGGTTTGGGAGCCCAGTGTACATTTTTCACATTAACATTATACTGTAATGGTTTAATGTACCATAACAGTTAAAATTAGCACATTAGTAGGGTTCTTTCTTCTGCAACAGCTTATCATGATATTACAGAGCACCACACTGCATGACTTGCTTGCACACATTTGTTAAGGTGCTATAGGAAAGTCACACCATTAAAACCTGAATAGCCTTGAAAACTAAGAAATGAAGTAGCTAGGGATTGGTTTAAAATCTCAGTGAAACCAAGTTAATGAACTTGTGTTGATATGTACAGTCATGCTTGTCTTCTACCCCATTCAAATACAGTGGCCATGGGACCTCTCATAATATCTGAGGCAAATTGCTTCTCGTTACAACCAAAAAGGATGGAAAAGGAAATTGCATCTCAGGGGATTATTCTATTTCATTTTGATTCTGATTTCTTCTCTGCCCACGTTACCAAGTTATCTTTATGTGCTTTGAGAGTATATTGGGAAATGAGCACATCTTGGGTGGTTTGTTTTCTTTCTTTTCCCATCCGCAAAATGTGACTGGTTGCATTGTGGCTAAAATACATATGATCGAGTGCTTGTTGCTGTACATTTGTTCAGAGAAGCACAGATTGGGAGTGTTTGAAGAGTGAAGATCTTGATCAGTTTTATGATAGCCCTGTGCAATGTTTGAGGTGACATGTCTCAGCAACAATCACTTTGCTGTTGGCTATACGTTGTTGATAGAAAATAGCATAAGGCTAGCATTACAAGCAAGTTTCTGATTATGGTAATTTCCTTTATATCCTCACTTTTCCTTGAAAAGGAACTGTATGGAGAGGGGAAGTAAAGCTCTGCCACTTTTACTTGGGTTAATTAGCAGTTATTGCCACAGATTATCTTAATAGAATGAATAAGATTGCAAAATCCTATTCCAGGTCTGAACATTAGATTGTTTTCATAGATTGATAGGATATATGAGAGAACTGATCCCCCAAAAGTCAAGACAGACATCTTGTTCTTGCCCTGTGTACAGGGAGAGGCTATGGAGTCTCCTTGCTGTTTCACATATGTACTTGTCCATTGTTCTTCAAAGCTGCTTGATTTATAAATGAATATTTCATCTTCTTCCTACCTAGTGTTGTTATAATGGGAAATAAGATTTGTGTACACTTGTGCCTTGCCCATCATTAAATGTCCCAGCTTTGGGCCTGCATCTTCTGAGAGCAGTTGTGGAAAAGCAAATGAAACCTGAGGGGAGTGTGGGGAATTTGAGCTAAGCAAGGATTTGAATAATATGAAAATAATCTGTATGCAAGAGTCTTGTCATACAATTTTCATATTCATATTAGAAGATTGTTTTGGACATGTTCAGAATTTTAAACTAGACTAATTTTTCAACACCTAAGTAGACACATTGATTCCAGTTGTTAAGAGAAATTTCACACTAAATATGAGTATTTTCTTCCATGTTTTGCATAGCCATCTACATGCTGATCTCATGTTGGTATGAGAGCAAGTCCGTTTGATTTCCATTAAACTGAAATAATTTCTTAACCTGACTGGGAGCTAACAGTATGGGAGCATTTGTCTGTTTTTTTTTTCCTTCCCCACCCCCCAATGTGGTTTGAGGCTGAAAGCGTGAAAGGGACAAAAAAATTTTACGCTTATAACTTCTTTTCCTCAAGTTACTGGGAACATGGGCTGTTTGTTCTGACTTTTAGAAATGTAATCAGTGACAAGAAAAAACTGCCAAAGGGATGTTCTCAGAAAATTAGCTCTATTAAAAGTTCAGCTGGAAATGAGTGCAGTGTCCAAGGCTTATATATTTGATTAATGACTAAAATTTTTAAATAATAAATGCCATAAAATAATAAGAAACCATCATTTCTGTAAAGAACACAAAAAGAAAGAGCAAACTGCGTAGCAATGAGGAATTGATGTTCATGCTATGTTACTCAGCTTTACTTGATTGGCTGCTTTGTCAAGAATGTCCCATTTACCAGTTTGGGCTGCTCTTAATGGGGCCATCCTTTTTATGTGTGCCAAACAGAGAAGAGCAGTAGTGGCACGTAAATAGGGTGTTCTTCCCTTTTGGTTATGTATGACAGATTAAGTTGGCTTTGTGCAGTGTGAACAGGTCTGTACTACTGAGAATATGAATAATGTTAGTTTCTATAATTGCTAACATCTGGCTTTCCATAAATCTGTTAAATTACATGGAAACGGAATTAGATTTCTGTGTCATAAGTAAAGCAATTACATGGAACTCTGTAGGCAATATAGCTTTATATTCATCTGTGAAATCCTTTTAGTTTTGAGCTATGAAAGCTAACCTTCTAATCTGCACTGTGATCCTCTTGCATCCTATATATATATGCTTTTCAAGGATCCCTTAATATGGTGGGAAAGAGAATATTGAAGATGTTTGGTGAAATCACCCAAGACAAAGTGAATGCTTCATTTATACCTTTGTTTTCAACATAAAATACAATTCAAAGTCTATTGAAATAGACTTTGAATATAATTAGATATAATTGGATGTAATTCATTTCATACCAATTCATTCATAGCTCTCTTCGTGTCACTCTTCGTGGTTTTTACCTCCTGTGATACTCTGGTGCTTGTTAAACAATGAACTACAAGTTTTAATTTCTCTTAGCACAGCACCTTTTACAGCACTGAGAGTGGACCTTTCAAGTACTCAGTTAGTGCTAAGCTATGCATTAGGGCAATAATGTTCTTTTTTGGCAATTAAGACTGTCAGGGCAGCAAAATACACCATTTTAGGGAAGTCTGAATTGTGCTATCAGGCCACTGGGAACATCTCTGACAAAGGATTGGCCCACAGGTTAGCCCAGGAGTGAAGCCCTTCTGCAGGGTAATTGCCTCCAGCTTCCCTTTGGGTCTGTAAGCAGAAAGAGGAACAGCCATTTTCTGGCGGCCCAGGCCCCTGACTCAGTTGCGCATGCTGATTTTGGTCAAATCCAAGGGCATGACCACGTTTCCACTTGTTCCTGGACTATTTATGAATTGAAATCGGGAATTTTACAAACCAGGTCAGAGGAAATTTAGTGATTTGATTGTTATAGAGGGTTTCCTTCAGCAGATTGAGAGAATTGTTAACGTCTTTTTAAGATCCTGCTTTCTGAGGAGATGACTTGTGAACCCATGGCACTTGTGCAAAGAGTAGGGCAACTGGCCATCACATCCCACCTAAATTAGACTTTAGGTAATTTTTATTTTTGTAACATCTATTGAAGTTTTAGATTTAGTGTTTTAGAGAAGAATTAAAAGTTGGGTAAAGTTGAACAGTTATAAATTTCATGCTAGCAATAAGGTTATTTTAAATGGTAAGTGTGAGGGTTCTTCCTTGTAATTTCTGAATTCATATAATAGTATTCTGGAATTTTCACGATAGAAACCATCATATACTTCTAAAGGATTTTCTTCTTCAGCCTTCCTCCCACCGTTGCTTACAGTTTCCATTGTTCATGTTGGAACAAAAAAGACCCACCAATTTACTGGTGTTTTATCTGGACAATCTGTCAATATATTGTTTAAGAACAGTCCAAAGTTATTTTCTGAAAGAAATATCTGTTTTTAACAAGTTTTTAACAATGTGATTAAAAATCTCATGGCTTTCGCTGCAAGAAAAAGAATGCTGCATTAACTCCCTAGATAAATTCATATTGCATAGTTATATTTTACACTCCAAAAGCAATTTTAATGAGATACTGTAATTCACTTTTCTCTAGTGTATAATGATTTTCTTTTGTTACTTATTTCTTTGTGTCATTGCTAAATCATACTTTTTCTGCATACCTTTGTTCTAAGACTTTTTTCCTGTATAAGGTGCCTCTGATTTCTTTCTTTATTTCCTTTTATTTTTTTTCTTTTTTCTTTCTTTTTTTTTTTTTTAAATTCACTTATACCTTCCAGCAATGGGAAAAGGATACAATTGATTGCTTTTAGTATGGGAAATGTTAATCATGCTAGGAACTTAAGAAGAATAGTGCACTTCTATTTTGGTGTAAAATCCAGAACAGAGAGTGGTCCGATTAACAGAAAGTCACTCTGATTGTTCACTAGTTTTCAATCACTGGGAAATCGCTATACACCCTTGTCTGAAGCTTAAAGTTCATCACTGATACACAGTTCCACTCTCAGCATTTACAATTAAGCCTGCTGGAGATAGTTTAAGAATTCTTGGTAGAATCAAAATAAACACTAAAGAATAACCTAAAAAAGAAATCCAAGCTTAACATCTAGCAAGTAAATATGGAAGATATCAGAAAGAGGCACCCTCTTCTACCAGCAAGGCAGATGAGCAATAATTACTTAATACGGAAATAAAATTTTCCCTGTGAAAAAAAATGTCCAAAGCATTATAAATCTTCTGTTTTGCAGATATCGATGAGTGTGCCTTAAAGACCCACACCTGTTGGAATGATTCAGCCTGTGTGAACCTGGCAGGAGGGTTTGATTGCCTTTGTCCGTCTGGACCATCTTGCACTGGAGACTGTCCCCATGAAGGCGGCTTCAAGCGGAACGGGCAGGTGTGGACCCTGAGAGAGGACAGATGCTCCGTTTGTTCCTGCAAGGTGAGATCCAGCTCGTCTGGATTTCAGGAGTCCTTTAATTCTCTGGGATCATGTCAGACACCCAATATTGCAGTGCTACTGGTGTTGGCAAAAATACTAGCCTAAGCCCAAGGCGCTGAGGCAAAAGGTAAGCTCTGTGGTGGGCACTGAAGCTGTTATGGGGAAATTCTTCTGGGAAGTAATCTTTTTTCTTATTTTGCACAACCACAGGCACAGCTGAAAAAAGGCTAACACTGCTGAGCTTCTGCCATATCACCCTGTGGGCCAGAGCCACTCAGAGCATGCCATGACGAGGGTCTTGCATTACCCTTTAACACAATGTGCAGGCGATTAGCACGCTTACTGGAAATGTTGAAAACTGTTTTCAGTTTCTCTTTCACATGAATATGCATCTCTCGGGGCGAGTACTGTGGTCAGCCATCTTCCTGTTGGTGGTGTTTCCCTTTACTTGGAATACATGCAAATTAACTGGGTGAGAAGGAAGGCCTGACCATGAGTCAAAGGTTAGGGGACCTAGCAGCAGGCACTTAATTTCCTCAAGTGAAGAAGAGTGAAGGCCAGCTTTCTCCTCCTCATGCCAGCTTGGCTGTGTTGGCGGCTCTCCCACTTGAGTAGTGCAGCTCTCTCTACACCTTTGGAGAAGGCAGGCATAGCATAAGTAGGTCTACCTTAGAGTTAACACTTAGATCAGGTTGGGTTTTTTTTCCCCCTGGAAATCATCAGTTCTTTTCTGAGTATAGTAGCTGAGTTAAAAGAACATTTGACTCTACTTTAATTTTCATTAGTTGAAAGAGGGATGCTGTCATTGAAATTCGAAGAATTTTAGAAATGCACCAGTCTGAGACGTGGTTGGTCTTTTATGGCCACTTTGACCTGATGCGTTCGCAGCACTGGTAAAGCTGTCCTTAGATTCAGCAGAACGCTATTGACCCTTGCATCAGTGTAAGTAAACCGAGATTTTGGCCACTGTGAAAAGCTGAACATAGAGCATGACAACTGGTCTATCAGTCCCCATGTCTCAATGCTTACGAGCCAGAGAAGCATTAGAGTGTTTGAAGGGGCCAAGGGGGAAGAGTTGCTTTGAAGTTGCAAGAAGCTGAAAGGCCTCATCATTTCTGTATTGCAATGTATAGGAGAAGGGAAAATTAAGACTTTAGAGTGAATAGAACCCACAAAGTACACGGCTGTTTTGGGCTCAAAAGGGAATATGTTCTTTTTAGTTGCTATATTTTTTACTTCAAGTAGCCTCAAGCTCCCTAAAACTCCTCCCTTCAGAAACTGAAGTGTACAACTCCACTGAATATATATCAAGCTTTTATTGTAATCTTGGGGAACTGGCTGGCTTATGAAAGGATTTCCAGTCAATAGAATAAACAGTTTAATATATGTGAAGACATCTGGTCTGCCTTTGCAGAATTATAACAATTAGTATTCCCATTTTAGGTTGCTTGTAATTTGTTTTATTTGCCATTTCTCATTGCACTTATTTCTTATGTTGAATGCTCTTATTAGTATATGAAAATACACAAGATGATTAACAAGTACATAGATATTTTAAACTAAGCCTGGCACTGTTTGTTGCTATGACTCTTCCTTTATATCTTCCTCACTTTCCAGTTTTTTCCTCTGTGAATTAACATTTGCATTTAATTTAATTCCAGTAGCTGCCTGTTTCAAGAGCCAAATTCTCATCTATAGACCAGGGAAAACAAGGAGAGCTCCTCCTCTGTCATATCCCGGGCAGAACATAAAGTCTTTGCTCAATGTTCATTGAAATATGTTATTGAAACATATTTTTATAAATCATGATAGCTTCCAGTACACCAAACTACTTCTCAGACCTGCTGCAGGACTCTTTCTTTTTCATGCAGTTGCATGGAGAGCTGGCCCTGCTTGACATTTTTGCAGCGTGCTTGGTTTTCAGGGAGGAAAAGGGCAGAGTGTAACTAAATCATTCCTTATACTTCTTACTCGAACTTTGAAATGATCCTACTCGCTTGTTTTATCTAGGAGACAAATCAGCATTTCAGATTTAAAATAATGTGTTTTCTTTTGGCTTTTCTTTTGTTATGGTTATTTTAGGAAAGGTCCGGTGGATATATTTTGTGCTTTGGCTGAAACGCATAGGTCTCATCTTGAAAATATTTTAACTTAAAATCTGGTGCAAAGGAAATTAAACACCTTACTTAACCTTACTTAGTGAACTTCAAAGTTATTTGTGGAGTAGGATACTATGAGTTATGAGAAATCCTATTACCTCAGTTATATAATGAAACAAAGTGTCACTATTTAAGCACAGGGGATTATTTCGGTGTTTTATCAGACCCAGTCTCTTCGAACCATCCTCATTCATCTGAATGAATATAAAGTTTACAAAAACGTAAATTCTCAAAACTCTAAATTAATATCATGCTTTAAGTATATTTGATGTGTCTTCTACAGGCATCTTCCTGAACTCTTGTGGATTTAATACACAATCAAATTTAAGCGTGGTAGAAATTTGAAGGGAAGTGAGGAGCTGTTCCTTTCTCCCATGAAAAAAAACTAAGCCTGGCTGTACAGTCTGGCTATATCTGGGCTTTTGAGTCGGTCCTCTGATTAAGACAACCCTCCATTCCCCGTATGAAAAAAACCTCGGGAATAAGCACAGCACTGGGAACAGGGGGATGCACCAAGGTGAAGTGTGTTCCTGAGGATGAGAATAGTTTGGTGGTTTGGTTTCTGCACGGTCTGATTTCTGTCCAAATTGGCTGTGGAAACTTGAGTCACCCTTTACAGCGATTCCCTTGTGTATCGGTTTTTCCTTTGGTAAGAACAATTTTGTGTTCATACCGCCGATGCTTATGAAGCCTGTAGAACTGATTCAGTAAGGAAGGTGGGGAGGGAGAGGTACTAATAAGATGCTATATGTTATTACCCACCAAAAAAACCTAAGTTGCTTTCTGTATATTGCTGCATTTTCTATATATTTTTCAATGCTACTATAGAGCTGCAAAGATGCAAGTGGGGTGTTGTAGCTTAAGAGGCTTTGTGTCACTGCAGTATAGGGATAAAAACGTTTTTTGAAAGGCACGGAACTAATGAGGTTGTAGATAAAGCACAGATGCTTAAAGAATAAAGAGAGTTAGCAGTGTATTATGATTACCAAAAGGTCTCTGGCAAAATTATCAGGCTTTGTCAGTGTTCTGAAATACAGAGAGTAAAGGCAATGTAAAAGGTTAGCTGCTCCCCAGAGGTAACAGCATGGGAGCTCAGAGCAGCAAGAGCTACTAGCACTGTCACCAGCTGAAAGAGGAATTTGAAAACTGATCTTGAAAGCTTGGAAACTGAATTGGAACTAAGCAGACAGGTTATTGTTAGCCATTATTAATCAGCACTCCATTATGGAGAGGACAGAGGCTGCCACTGTCGAGGGCATTGGGTTGCCCGGGTGCCTGGCATAGCCCCACGTGCCTGGAGCTGGTCAGCCTGGCAGAGCATTTGTGCTGAGCTGGGCTTGATATCTGCCCTCAGCGAGAGGTGGAGGATGGTTGTGCTTTCCCACCTGCAAGAATGGAGATTTAGTCATAACTGTCTGTCAGGGAAGGCTTTCGGCTCTCTTCTTTCACCACTTGCTGAAGGGGAGGATGACTTCTTTCTTTGTTTTTTCTGGAAAGGGTTTATTCCCAGCATTGCATCTGGACCTGTGGCTAAAGGAGATGGGCCACTGCCAGTCTTCCTTACCTTATGATTTACTCAAACTGCCAAGTAAGGGAATAAAGCTTGTTTATTCCTTCTCCCACAGCTAAAGCAGCAAACTACCCAGAAGTACAGAATCCTTAGTTATCTTAATTTGATACAAAACTGAATAAACACTGAAGGACAATCTAGTCCTATGCCCTGTGGCTGGCAAAAGCAGCTGAGATCCATGTTAACCTAGAAAGTTTTCTACATTTCCGTAATTCTGTGTTCTCTTCAGCTTTCCTTGTTAGGCACAAGAAATCATTTTAATTGTTCTTACAACAGAAAGTAATATTCTAATCAATTCAAAACTCTGATGAAATGCAGCAGTGACGCTGATGGGGGTATTGTGATTCCCTGATGCTGACTTTGTACATGTTGCATTGTGGCCAAGGCTGGCTTTGCTTAAAAACAAGAGCCAACAGATTCCTACATCAAAACATAAACAAAACAACCACCCATGCTGCATGCTGTGGTTGTGGCATTTTTGTGTTCGCCTGTGGAAAAGACAGCCTGAGCTGCTGTCACTCTTTTTAGTAATCACTTTTTAAATGTATCAGAGGAAGTAAATTCCCTTGCTTTGATAGGTATCCCTTTATTTGGTGCTAATGAAAAACTTTTTTTCCTTCTTACATCAGATACAGGTTTAAAGACTCAGAACAAGTTTCTGATGAGAATATGGAAAAAATGCAATGAAATGAGTTGTTGTTTTAGGAATTGTACAGTTGTGATCCAAAGCAAAATGTAGCTTCATTCCTCTCGCAGCTCTAGCTTCAAATTGGCTGCAGGGGACCCCTGGCTTGAATAAGGACTAATCCAGTAACTAGCACTGAATGCAAAAGAAGTTCATGTCCAAACTTTTTGATAATCTCCTCATTGTTAACTGTGATTTCAGTTCCCAGACTACGTGTGGCCTATCAGTATGTTGTCTTGCCTACAGTAAGGGGTATAATTTCAAACACGATAGTGCATCCAATTTTCATAACTAGAATTAGAATCAATTTGTTTTTCTGTGATGCAAAGAGAATATATCCTTTTCTCTTTACATGCAGAAGCAATTCTTCTGTTTATCTCAAATAGTTCTGTTTAATGGTCTTTATCAAAACAGGCCATCCAATACTGTAAGCAAATATTTAGCAAAATCATATTTTGGAGAGCCTGTGGAATACAGGCCCACTTTAATATGTGAACTGAATTATAATGGGTGATGATAAGTCCATTTAGCTTTAAGCTGGTGTACTGTAGGTCCAGATGTGAAACAGAACCCGTGCTGAATTCAGAGTGAAGAACGATTAGTGCTACTGTGATTTTGCTCTATTGTGCTCCTATGAAGTTAAGGGGACCACTGTCATAACTTCAATTTATTTATTCAAGTGATTTTCTTCACAGTGATACATTCAGTCAAAATAGTGCTAAACAAATATTATATGTATTAGAGTGGCAACTGCTTGAAGAGTCCATTGATGTAACCAATGAGATATGAAATTGCTTCACTATATTCCTTCTGAGATACTGATTTCTTTTAAATTAAATTAGCTGGAGACAGGAAAACAGTATTCTGAGCTTCAGGCAGTGTTGGATCCATGCACTGATAGAAATTGGGACAATACTGGTATTTGAGGTATTACTCACAACTGGCAGGATCCAATCCTTGTTGGCGGTAACACCGACTGTGTTAAGAACTTCGTATTTCCTGATATGCCAAAGACGTGCCCTTTGATATATATATCCTGTGACCTCATATGGGTTGCTGTCTGGCAGTTTGTGGTTGACATCAGGGCAATGTGTCCTTGCAGGATGGGAGGATTTTCTGCCGGAGGACAGCCTGTGACTGCAAGAACCCCAGCGCTGATCTCTTCTGCTGCCCGGAGTGTGACACCCGTGTCACCAGCCAGTGCCTCGACCAAACTGGGCACAAGGTCTACCACAGTGGGGACAACTGGACCTACAGCTGTCAGCAGTGCCGTTGCCTGGTATGGGTAAAGCATTTTGGAAGGGAGCAAGAATAATAAGGATTATGACTTATAGCAAAGCATACCTGAAAGCAGGCTCTTGGCTCTCTCTTTGCCTGCTTTTCAGACTGGGAATGACAATAAAGCACTTACAGAGCTCCAGAGAACTGAAAGCTACACCATCAGTTTTCCTCTTACTGCTGAATAAAGGAGGTCTAATGAACAAAATGGAAAACTTGACAAAAGCTTGGAAACCTGGACACTGTATTCACTTCACCATTAGTCTACTTTTGAGAACTTTTGTAAGGTCATCTAATCTTTAAATGACTTCTAAATATTTTTTTCACATGTGATGGATTTGGTTGGAGGAGTTTCAGCTTTTAATTATGTCAGCTGGTGTACTTATCTTATCAAAATGGACAATACAATTTTTTTTTTTTCATTCAGCAAATGCTGGAGAAATGGAATGCCAATGCCATGTGGTGAATTAGGAAAAATTAACCAAAAAGAGGATAAAGAGAACTGAAATTACTAGACAAACATGCAAAATAAAGAACATCTATTTTCTCATTAGGCACTGTAGATTATTTCCCTAAAGCTTTAAGTTTTGCACAGATATACTAATTAGTACAGCAATGAACTTCATTAAAATTATCAGTTTTCCATTTATAGCTATCTGTATAGCACAGTCTTTATACATGATATTAATCAAAAGATGTCTGAGCATCAGGAAACAAATTACATTCAAAGCTAAGTTACTGTTAAGAGATAATTATCCATAATGTACAGCAGTAAGTATTGTATTTTGTGTTCTCCTAAGATTTTTTTTTAATGTTTGCAAAAGAACAGCAAGAAACATTTGCAGCCAGCAGCAATGGCAAATATTAGATATGACATGTTTTACAAGGGATACTGAGTTTGTGGCTAGCAGTTCTTTGCCTGATTTTATGATTGGGTTACCATACAGAGCTAAAAGACAGTGATGCTCTAATCAGTGCTACATGTAAGGTTCTGTGCAGTGTGGGATGTTATCAACATCTGAAGGGCTTACAGAGTAGCATAATGCAAGTTATTGGAGCCCTTTGCAGGTTAAGTTTAGACACACAGAGCAATACTCTGCAGAACTGACCTGATGAATCTCTCTGCTCCATGTTTCTATCTACTAAACTGCTTTTTTTACAAAGCTAAATAGTAAAATAAAATGACTCAGTGGAACATAACCGGTATTGCTCTAACAATTCCTTTAGGACTTGACAGTAAAATCAATTTTGGCTGTTGCTAGTTAGATCAATGTTCAATGCCTCTCAAACATGCTAACCTACCTCTATCTGCAGTGTTAATTTTCTACTTAAACAGTTGCTGTGATCCCGCAGAGATGTTTATGTGACCAGGCGTAGAAAGAGTGCGTGAGTCTGCAAGGCAATCACTGCTAAAATTATAGTTTATGGAAAATATTGGAACCCAGTATTTAATGCTGCCTTTAAAAACCCCAGAGAACTCAAGTTCGCCTGCCACGATGACGACAGTGTTGTTTAGTCAAGAAACAACCAAATGATAGTCTGCCACATTTAGGAAACTTCAGCTCAGTGGTCAAACATGCATTTGTATGATCAACCAAACTGAGAACTGGTCCGTTAAGTTTATTTCAATTTTGGCAAAATAAAACTTTTCTGTTCAACAGGATGCAAGGTTTCTCGATATCTAATAAATGGCAACAAATTCAATGAGCTTTGCTTCCCTTTTTACAGGAAGGAGAGGTAGATTGTTGGCCTCTTCTGTGCCCAAATCTAAACTGCGAGTACACAGCCATCTCGGAAGGCGAGTGCTGTCCCCACTGTGTCAGTGACCCCTGTCTGGCTGACAACATCACCTACGACATCAGGAAAACCTGTCTAGATGGCCATGGAATCACAAGACTTAGCGGCGCTGTATGGACAATGGTCGGATCTCCTTGTACAACCTGCAAATGCAAGGTACGATGGTCAGAGTAGAATGGTGATGGAAATATATGTTGCTGCATAAAATCAGGGTCATTTTCTGCCTTTGGAAGCTCACATTCAGATCTTGGGGAAGTAAATGAGACTTGAGGGCAGAAGCCTACAGAAAACCCATGCTTTTTGTGTTTTGCAGGGTGGAAACAAACCAATTCTGTGCTTGTTGAAAATATTGAAGGCAGATATGTAGTACCGCAGTGAAACTTTCAGACGTTTTGTTGGAGAGCCCTTCAGGCATTCTCAGTATGAATCTAGGCTAGTATTTTAATAATTGCCTACCATGGATGTTCATGAAAATGTGCTTTACAGAGCTGGGAAGCAGAGGCAAAAACACTAATAAAAGTTTCACCGGCAAGTACACAAGTAGAAACGCATTGCAGCTCAGAGATGAAGGCACTCCCACAACAGAAGTGGGAAGGGAATGTCACAGTTTCTGTTCCCTGATCTCATCAAGATATATTTAATCCAATGGGTCTAATGCAGAAGTGCAGTCTGTCTCCCTTGCTCTGTGCAGTGATGACCCCACTGCGCTAATACCAGAATTATGAAAATGTTGTTTTGGGTTATATAAAACATTCTTCTGTTCTCTGTGGGAAACCAAGCTGTTGCTCCAGGGCTTTAAATTATCGAAGGTAGCTTTCTGCCATTCTTCAGAATTTTTTCTATTGGTTTGTGTTGAATTTTAAAAAAAAGGAAAAAATTGGTCCTTTGGGGTTTTGGTGGTTGCTCTGTTTTTTTATTATATAAGATAGTTTCATAAATGGATATTGCAGGAAGATATTTAACAATGGATTAAACTCCAAAACCGTATGTTTTTTGGTTTTTTCCCCCATATGTGTCTGCCATGAATCAAGAATCTGAACTATCTGCTTTATTTCAGACAAACAGAAAGCTTCCTTGCGTGGATCACATCAAAACTTTCTCCATTAACTTTCTTGCATGGGAGAAAAATCCAATCATCTCTGTTGTCATTGCTGTGCTGTATTTTATTATGGGGAGGGACCCCTGAGTCTTTCACGTCCAAGTTTCTAGTTCACGTGTAGTTCAGGACAGTTCAGTGCTATTTGGCAAAGTCAGCCTCCTCAAAAAGCCACCACAGTTAGGACCGATGAGGACACCTTGGGATGATGGCTTAAGCAGATTTTTGTAAGCAGTAGATGTGTCAGAGATGCATCTATCTCTGCATGCCACCAACCCCTTTGCTCTTTGTGACTTGTTCTGCCGAGGTGATTGACACCTGCTTGTTTGTCTGTGCAGAATGGGAACGTCTGCTGCTCGGTGGATTTAGAGTGTCTCGACAATAACTGACCTAGTCAGACTGGACTGTGCCAAGGGAGGAAAACTGATGAAGTTGACACCTGAAATGAAGTCGTATGCGTTGGCGTTTTATACAACAGACAATTACCAAAGTCTCCGCATGAGGAAGATGTTTGGGAGTTGCCTTTGGGACCTATCACTATGCTCATCCTTGCTAGCCTTGTCTGGGTGACTTACAGTACAGCGCATATAAGTCAATGGTTGTTAAAAGTTTTCAGTGTTGTAAATTACACACTTTTCCTGTCAAGACATTTGCAAATATGTTTAAATTATTTCATGGGTAAACAAATGCTGTATTTTTGTTTTAATTTGTGTATTGACAACATGCTAGAATTCAGCTCTTCTTACTTTGAATCTAGATTTTACAAATAAGACAGCCTGTTGTGATTTTGTCCCATGATCTCACGTACTTAGTTCCAAGGTCCCTGTCAGATGTATTTATGAAAATATGTATGTATGTACAGTCAAATTGCATAGTACTTATATTTCACAGCTGTCCAACATTTTAAAGCATTCAAAGGTATATTTGATTGGACAGAAAGTAATCAAAATAAGTCTGTCTTAAAAATTTATAAATTTAAATGCTATGTACTTAATGAAATGGCAAAAAAAGCACTTTCTTCTCCAAATATGCGGAGCAGCAGCAAGACTCCTGTAGTGAGAAATGCAACTAAAAACACATTCCACTGCCGATTCAGCATGTATTCAGGAAAGAATCACCAGTCATTATCAGTATTCTGTTTTGCAAGAGAAACTGCAAGTGCTGGAAAAGGGTATAATCCCTCTGGATTGTGCAGTGATAAAACAGTCAGAGACCCTAAAGATGATATAATTTAAATTGACTAGGCTAGAATTTGCTTTCAGTTGTAACATCGCTGATGAGTTCAGAATTTTTCCTTTTTTTGTATTCACAGTAATAAGGATGTCTGCCATTCTCAGTTACTGCTACCTGTAATGACAAAGTGCAGAAGCACCTGTACCAGTGACATGCGGGACAGGAGACCTTAACGCTTGGTAACTTTCATTACCCAATTAGCAGCTCAGAAACAGATTTTCTCTTTTCATATTTTATGACATTCAAAAATATTTAGTTTTAAATTTACGACGCGCATGGTGTTGTTTAGTACCTAAGTTTAGACAGAAATACAAATTAAAACTCTTAGCCCTATATTGAGGTTAGAGTTTAGGTTCTCTTCAGCTAATGTCTATTTTTTTCATGAGGCTAGAAAGTTTGTGGCATTAGAACAAGAATATATTTCTACGATGATGGCATCTACAGCTTAAATGTCACCTTTTTAATGTGCTGTTGTATTTTCTTCTGCTCATTTGTGTAGTGCTTTTTGCTTTTTGTTTATTCAGTTAAACACACTGAGTATATGGAAAAGAGTGCAGAAATAAGTATAGTGGCTACAGTTTGGAAAGTCTACATTTGTGAATTTTTCGTAGTTTCATCCAGAAAATGTGAAACTGATTAATAAGAATGAAGTGTGACTATACAGTGAAAAAATTAGTCGTCTTTTAAATGAAGTACTATTATGTTTCTTATAAGGGAACAGTGGCAAAACGATATAAAAATTACTTGCAATCATTCAGACAACTTTATTCCCATTTTTTAAACAGGATTTGTTTTATCTAACAGGTTTGTGTGGTAAAGTTTATTTTCTTAAAATACCCCATCATTTTCAGCTACTAATGTATTGACTATATTTGCATTGCCCTAATGATTGTATAATAAGGGAAACAGTTGTGTTTTATATGATACTCAAAGGATGTTTGTAAATCATAACGTCAGCTCATTTTGTATATCACATTGTAAAACCCAATGGTAATTCAGTTGGATGAGATATCCAGTGGGCTGAGATATAAAGGGGAATGATTTAAAACTTGTGGGCATCTAAATAAACTCCTATGTACAGATTGCTTTCCCTTAGTTTTATTAGCAGATTTTTAAAAGACTTATCACTGTCCTTTCCAGACTTGAACTCGTGGTGTTGCTTTTTTAGAGTGTTTTCCTGGAGATGTAGCATCAGAGTTGTAAGAAATACTTCACTTATACTTACTCGGACAAAATAATGTATTCTTGTCTGTCATACACACCAATTTCTGAAGCTCTGTAAGTGGGATTAAAGACAGTGCAGGGTCTGAAAAATCATTCTTTTCCCATTTACCTTGTAGTAGCGAAGCCCTTTCCCAGGATGCTTTCTGGAAGCTCCAGACCTTGTTAGGATCATGTTCAACAGGAGCACAGAAGTTCACATTTTTCCACTGCACAGACCAATTTTCTTCCAGAACTCAAATGCAGATTAATTCAGTGAAACCCTTTCAGAGCATTTTATACAGCATTATGTGTCATTATCTCCGAAGTGATACAGCTTGAATTGTTTACACAAAGTCAAAATATTGACACAGACCTGTTTGTTTATGTTGCATTTTAAGCAGTTACCAAGACTGTGATGAACTTTTCCTTATGAAGGTATTTGATTGCTAGTCGCATCGCATTTACCTTCAGAATACTCAGAAGCCACAGGCCCAGCTCAAAGAGCGCAGTGAGGAGGAAAATTTAATTCACTATGTTCCTCTGTGACCAAGGTAAGAACTTTCAAAACCTCTTTCTTGATGAAATTCCCTATTCCCTATAAACCTATGGGCACTAGAGTGAAAATGCTGGGGGAAGAAAAAAAAAAATCAAGTTTATTATAATAGTTTCTGAAAAACCTCCTCTTTGTTTGCGAGACAGACCTTCTCTCTGCTAAGATGAGAACAATAGTATTAACGTGAGGAGGATTACCAGTATAACTTCTGTGAAAGGAAACTTGCTGCTAGCTAAGGGGCTTGGTCAAAACTCTCACTATAGGCAGTTGGAATTTTGTAGCTGTTTCTACTTATTTATCCTGTAAAGGAATATTTTCTCTGCATGTAACGCTTCTGATGACAAAAAAATAAATGAGTGAGAAGCAGAAAATGGAAATTCCAACTCTGGTAAAATGTCTTTGCCTCCTCTTTTTGGCAAAAACCTCAGCCTAGGTACTAAACCAGAACACTGTATTGTGGCTTGTGAGGGAAGCGACTTCTCAGTTCTGCTCCCTGTGTATTTGCAAACTCACCTACTGAGATAAAGCAAGTGTAAAGGTTCCTTTGTAGTGGCTCCTAGACGCATGGACTGTGCTGAGCCACCCTAGTCACTATTAAAGGCTGAAGAAAAGCCAAACTATTCCCCAAAAATGCTGAATAATAGCTGCCTAGTTCACAGGAATGTGTGGGACATTTGTTATTGTCTTTGTGGTGCCTCAGAGACCTAAATAACAACTGTCTTCCAGTAATATATGTTCTCCCAAGAGCTGTCAGTAAGTTTTCAGGTATAACTGTGTACAACATTTAATTAATAACATCTTTTTAATCAGATTGGAATGACAAACAAAATACCATCTTCTTTTTTTTTTCTGTGGCAGACAATAATGTTTTACAAAACAAAAGGTAAAGTGTCAGGAGTGATTACAGAAATGGTGGAGTAGATTGTACTAGAATTAAATCCTAACTCCTACGAGCAATATGGGAATGTCTCACATCTAATGGTACTTACATAATCATCATTAATGAGGGGATTTGAAAAGGGCCCCATGATACAGATTGATGTAAAATTTTAAGTGAGTGTTGTGATAAGACATAATTGTTTGAGGCACATATTCTGCCATCAGAAATACGTACCTGCTAACAAGCTACTGTTCCTTTTAAGGTAGATCTTTGGCGCTTATCGAAAATTAAACTGGTATAAGGAAGACTCATGGTGGTATAAATTTTAAAATTAAAAAAAAAAAATTCCAACCTGGGGTGTCCTGAATGCTTCCTATTCAGTTCTTCTCACTTACTGGTATAAATCAGCAATAATTCTGTTTCAGCTGGTCATTGACTTCAGAGAGGTGTTAGTGAAGTGCTGTTATTGTTTGTAATCTGCAAATATTACTTGCAGGTGCTAACAAGATTATTTCTTGCTACTAGCTGCCAGTGAACAGCCCCGCATGTGCAGGTTTAGGTATACCTGAGAAGGGTTTATATCAATAAGCTGATAAAAAGGGTCAAATTAGTTTTGTTTTTTTTTTATGAAACCATCACCAGGAGATTCACAACACATGGGCACATGATGTCAAAAATCATGGCCAGTCAGGAAAAAAAAAAGCCCTCCAAAACCATATATATGTCATTTAAATTCTTTACTGCTACCTCAGCTGTGCAGCGTGAGGGATGCATTGAATTCTGCTGAGTGGGTTTCTGGCTGGGAGCCAAATCTTTGCTTCAGCAATGCCTCCCACTTGAATTGTTTTTCTTCCTAAATTTGTACATGAGATTGTTTGTTTTATTTAAGTGGTTTGTCTGGAATTGGGAGCAAGCCTTCTCATGTTCTCTTTGAGATCGAAGTAGCTACAACAGGATCTGGAGCAATTCAGGTTTCTTTCCTGTATGTGCCTCTACCCTGATGGGGAGAAACCACCTTGGGAAAAGGCAGGGAGTTACCCAGCCAGCTCACTTGTGTTTGGGTGGTACTGTGGTTACCACTGACAGTTCTACAGGGTTGTGGTAGCGTTCACCCTGGACACAGCAATAGATACAGAAACGCTCCCAGAGTGGCTTTTGATTGCCAATCTCTGTTCTGTAGTTTCTTTCGAACGACTCATCATGTCATCTGTACACCATAACGTATTTACCTATCCCAAAGCTCTTTGTTATTGAAGGCCTATGTGGTTCTATGTGTTCACAGGCAGATCCACCAAGGCACTTCAGTGAAGAGAGGCTTAGAGGTTCTGCAGCAGATCACACCATCACTCAAACACAAAGGAGAGACCAGGAGCTTATCATGAAATTAAAACAGAGTTGAAAAATCCTGTTTTCTAATAATGCGGTTGATTGCTGTTTGATTAAATCTACTTGTTCTGTCACAAGAATTGCAAACGTATGTGATTTAATCCAGTGCTTCTTTATACTAGTTTTGAAGGATTCCCTTTTGCACACTTCAGTATTAAATATGCAGATTTATTTTCTTACTGGAATTTTATGCAAAATTCTCATCCAGGTGCTAGAATGTGTGGGCTTTGCTACTGTTGTCCCTCTAAACTCAAAGCGGGCATTTTTTTACACAACATCTATGAAGTTAGAATGAGAGAATCACCGAAGTGTGTTCAGGTCAGCACTAACTTTAAGGGTAAACTCTTATCTATTAAGATAAGGATTAAGGAAACCTGAACATGTATTTTAAAAGTACATTTGCAGCTGTAGAGATGAGTTTTCAGCCTGCCCACAGGTTTGGCCATTTACTCACATTTGTATTAAGTCCTTAGCTGATTAGTACACCCTTTAGCCACACCTGTGTATTCTCTGATTTGCAGGGCAGAAGACAGCTTTGAGAACTAGCTAACTGCTGCAGGTAGTCATCCCAATGAGCAGGTTTTCATGCAAAAATAGTATTTGTTGGAAACTACCACAGAAACGCCACTAGAGCTTT